AACCTACGCAGGGCACAACCCGCCAATCACCTACAACCTTTCGCCATCGATGGGCCGTATTCATGCGGCAAGTTTGCAGCGGCATTGCAGGCGCAGGTGCAGGGATGAGTCGCCTCGCGCAGGGCGGGCTGCTTGGGCGAGGGCGCGGGGGCGGGGCGGCCCTTGGAAAGTCCCGTCCTTCAACGATTTGCACGAGACTAGATGAGGGTGATTGGGCCGTGGTGTTGCCGGCGGGGTAGCCCCTGCCGCTAGTGGCGTTTGGTGTTACCCCAAGAGAGGAGATCCCGTAAGCTGTTGCTCTTTCAAATTGAGGATAAGGCCGTGCAGGAGGAACGGTGTGTGTTGTCCCCGAAGTTCAGGCAAGTGCTTCGCTTGCTACGTCTGTAACCAATTGAGCTGCCGGTACGTTCTGGCCGCGGCGTAAACCCCGTGGTTCTGTTTTAAATACTCTCAGTGTTCGTTCTCTCTCATGTTCGTTGCTGACTAGACATTATGACTTTAATGGCAACATCATTAATATAATCCGGATTTAACTCCGGCATACGCGCTTCCTAGTTCTCGGCGCGAAAATGGAGGCAAGGACACCTCTAGGAGCGTCTTACCCTCCCAGAACACAGCTGAATAAGTCATATTCTATTTCGCTGCCTAAATCCAAACGTTTCTACCAACTCCTCTGTGGTCTAGACAGTTAGCCTATATATTCTTCTCATTCTGGCTCGGCGCTTTCTCAAGTATGCTCAACACGCCCTCGTCCTCGTGCTTTCTCAGTCCCGCGTCTCGTCTTTCTGATATGACCCCTCCAGACTGTAACTAGAATTACACATCAAGTCAAAAATCATGTCAAATATTCTTTATGCAGTTGAGAACTTATTATCTGTTCTCTCGTTTGCACCCGATCTCACAAGTTATACGCTACGTCCACTATTCATTGTTATTTTGTTATAACGCTCAACGATTCACATTTATCAAAGGTAAATTTGGCCACTGTATCCCTCGGTTTATATATGACATGCGATGCGGTAATCTAGTTTAGAACACAAACGTACATTTGTCACAATCAAATGATACTCTCGATATCCGGCTCACCGAGCGGCCACTATTTATTTGATCTAGTAAAATGCTTGTGAGCATTTTTATATCATTTTGTTTCGGCTTTCAACCACAATCCTGAACCGTATTCCTACCCAGAGACATGAATATGTGTAATGAGCTGATACGGTCGACATGTGTTCACTTAACTGAGTATCTACACTCTATGTTTATGAATCTAGCCAGAAGGATCTCTCGTCTAGCAACTGTGTATAAGGTGTCATCTTGCATTGAAAGCTCTCTGACGAATTAATTTCTGAATGTAACCAGACACCACCTTTGCTGCTCGCCTGTATTGAACGATAAAACGTGTATGTACACGGAGGTGTCCAGGGAGGAAAATAAACCGAATCTTTCAAAATAAGCACCCAAAAAAGCAATTGAATTGTGTAAAATTGGGGTTTGTTTATTTCGGTTTTCGAATTTTGTGCTTTTGCCATTCAAATATTTATGCAGTGCTCATGATTTTGCTGAAGACTTAGGCAATAAGAAACAATTGTATTTGTTTGCTGGGTGGTGCGTGTTCTCACCTGTGTGTCCATAAAATGAAAATGTTGATGCATAAGAAGGCCTTATACTCTTCACTTATCAAACCTCGTGAGCGTGTTACTTAAGCAGGCTAGGGTTCGTTTATTATGTACACTTGCACCATTCTGAGAAGTGGATAGATTTTGTTTTGGGCAAAATATATCTATAAAAATATGAAACTAGACGAGACTCTCATTCTTCCTCAAATTTCTATATACGTTTGAATACACATAGAGATTTAAATAACCTGTCTCTTAGATCATGCCAATCCATAGTACCGTGCGGACGAAGTGTCGAGTTCGGACTGAATTTGCACGTAACTCTACGGCACTACCAGCTAACTCTTAGGTACTGCCGTCCTCTCTGTTGCATAGGTAAAACACCCTGCCCTCCCCCCACTCTGCGCCACCATCGCTTTCGCCGGCGCCGCCGCTGCCTCCCTTCGCTGTCGCCACAACTGTCATCATTGGCTAATCGTCTTCTTTGCCACCATAACCCTCATTGTTGCTAGTAGAGGTATTGGCGTTTGGAGCCATCGTCGCCAATTTGCTAATATCCCATGCCCACGCTGTAATTGTTTACCTCACCCGCAACAATAAAGCTGTCGGCCGTCCTGGATAGCCGAGGGCGCTGAGGCTGATAAGCCGTAGTTGCCTCGTGCCTGAAGGGTCGCGGGTTCAAATCGCCTTCGGGGCATAGATGTTTGTGTGTGTCCGTATACCGTTACCTTCACAGTTACTTGCAGAGGCCGCTATATGACTTAAGTACTTGAAAATCGACCTTAAATAAGTAAAAAAAGTATGCTGTCACCTCTTCTCATCTCCGTCATCTCTACCAGCACTACCTCTAACTTTACCCTCCCATCGTCTCTACAACAAGTTTTGGCATCATCTTTGTCCCCGACTCCGTGTTTCCCATTGTCCCTAATTTCTTCCGGCCTCTACAACCATCCCTATCGTCACCGTAGTCACCCTAGCCTTGCCATTTTTCTTACAACCATTCTCACTTTCCTCAACTCTGCAGTTTAAACCTTTTTCCTCATTACCACACTTCCTCCTTATCGTCTTCAAGCTGGTCATCCATATTACCGTCATGCTTAAGTCGGCAATTTTACTCTGTCGATATAGATGCTTCAAATGCATTACGAACGCGTTTCATGACTTTACAATATCAAGTTGCCTCGCTGAGAGTGCCTAAAATTTTTCGTAATTTCATAATTGGCACCTACTCGTCCGATCATGTTCGTCTCGCCTGTCTCATTTTTTAAAATATTTTTCTTAAATATTTAAATATACACTTAGTCTTGGATTAGAAATACCATTTTCTTCTTCAGATGAAACACAACATTATTCTGAGTGAAAAAGGCCACGGTTATTTTAATTTTGAATATTTTTTATACTTGACAAAAATATAATTTTACTCAAATATTTTTAAGTGAAACAAATTATATCAAAATACTTAGAAATAGTGCAGCATATATTCTCCTTGCAAGGGGCACGTGAATTAGGGAATTTCGGAGATTAGATATATTAGGTCATCATTATAAATTTCTTTCACAGTAACTTTTTCTTATTATAATCTTCACCAACAACAGCATCAAAAATTTTACATTGCAACAGATAATCCTAAAACTCATATATTATTGTATTCTCTCTCTTATGTCACACCAGCTAACACAGATTCCGCCAAGTCTACTTGCTGAGTCTCCAAATTCGAAAACCCCTTTCGTGAGAAAACACTAATCCCGCCCCGTCCCACACATCCGGTTGTGGAAGTGACGGCTTCGATTCTTGTGGTTACTTCCGAATTGCTGTAATTGAGGCGAAGAGAGTTGTCGTAATAAAGACTCTCATGGGAAACCTCACATGGGATTTTGTTTGCGTGAAACTGAATTAAGCACACTTCTGCTTCTGTTTCAAGTTAATGAATTTTAGCCAATCAGACTATCGACTTCAGCGTCTGTTGTTAACACTTCGGTCGTTAGGGTGATGTCGCCCTCAGACTTATTTTAGAAGAAAGACACTCATTTTGTTTGATTTTATTGATCTAAACGTACACACTTTAGTGAATAAATCATTAACTCTGACAAGTTTTGATACATTCTCACATTTAAAATTAACGAAAATGCATTCGCTTTCCATTAGACCTGTAAGAATTTTTTAAGATCTAGTAAAATCTCTGTTCTACACTAAAATTGCATATTAGATTATGTACTAAATTTTAGAAACTACAGCGCAGAGCATTTACATTACACTTGTCTAAGGCACATACTACTACTCATAAATTACTCGAAAAACTAAGATCATCATATGTCGTATAAAAGAGATTGTTCCATATCGGTTAGTTTTCCAATCGCATCCCTACCGTGAACTGACGTGTTATGGAGAAATGATTTATAATCACATAAAAGGAATTGTACTTTGCACAGAATACCCTTTTGAAATATTGTTCTCTTTGGACGTTTTCATTAGAGTAGCGTGTGTGCAAGGTCCTTTCAAACTCTGGAAATTGTATGTTGGAAATAATTTAGGGTATGTCTTTACGATGCTTTTCAACCCATCGTTTATGTCACTGATGTGTTTTTCTTTGTTCGCAGGTAAGTAGCGGAGACAATGGCCTCTGAGTGCTGGTGCTACTTCTTGGGTAATATTGCAACGAAATATCACTTTCCTTTGTCCGTGATTGAAGTCCGAACGTACGATGCCATTCACTTTATTTCGTGGAGTGCTCTTGAACGTCAGAATATAGAAGCATCTCAAGTACGAGGATTTAATTAGAAGGGATTGGATGGATACATTGACGTAAATGTCCTTTTTATGGATGGGAGTTTTTAATGGCAACTATACTTGTGAATCTTGATATAATTTTTTATATTGTTTTGATTTATTCCTGTCTTTTCTAGAATTTCTCAGTTGAAAAACAGATAAGTGGTACATGATTAATTTGTTGAATCAATATTTTTTCATTGTCTCCGTAAGTAGATATTGCTTAGATTGTATGAAATGAGATAATAATAACAACTAGATATATAATACACAATATTCTGTAAATGTTTTTCTCTTAATAAACCAAGATAAATACAGGGCAGATGTGTTTTTTTAGTTATATTATAGAACATCAAATAAAAATATTTGCTTTATGGAAGATAGATCTATATTGCTATTTTGGAAGTTAGTTCTGAAGTGCAATAATGAAGTTACGTAAATTATATTCCACTAACATGAAACTCGAAACATCATTGTGTAATAAAACTGCTGAAAATGACAATTTTTATTCTTAATTGAACTTTTTGATTTCTTTCTTCGTTTAATGGTCATCCAGGTGCTAGTTGAGCCGCTTATAAGAGTCTTAAAGAGGAATATAAACGGATGATGGAAGAAAATAAAAATGTTTTCTTTTTGTCTTCAAGGGTTTATTTTTTTGTAAAATTAATTAAGCGTACAGACGTGATGAGAATCAATATGAACCCCATGGTAGTGTTGAGAAAGTTGCTTCTGAAAGTTAAATATTGTTCAGTGGATCCTGAATATTTCAAAAATCTTAAGGAACAATACTGAATTGATTTGTGCCTTGTGCTGACGATATAGTCAGTCCGCTTGGAAACGGACTGTTAACATAATCATCGGTCTACAATAAAAGAAAAGTGAACTAATAAGGTTAATAACAATATTTAGAAAAGTGCAAAAACTCGAGTTATCAAGATTGTTTGCAATTATTCATTTTGTACAGGCATATCAATGCTCTTGATTACGATTAAGGGGAAAGGGAATTCATTATAAATTAGCGATGTAAAAGATTTCGAATTATCGGGTGTCAAATTGTCGGGGACCAAGCTACGAGAATTAAAGACGTCGAGGTTTGAGTTATCGGGGTTTGAGTGATCGAGGCTCCAGTGATCGATGCTCCAGTGATCGAGGCTCGAGTGATCGAGGCTCGAGTGATCGTGGCTCGAGTTATCGTGGCTCGAGTTATCGGAGTTTCTCTTCTAGACTCTAGAAACCAGGCGCCGAATTATCGGGATTAATAGTTACATGTTGGAGTTATTGGCAATAAGTTATTGGAATTCGGGTTATG